AAAGTGGCTGACTGACCTGGAAAAAGTTGGCGAAATGACTGTGAATCGTTATTACTTCCCAGAAGAAGAAAGAAGAATTAAGTTTGCAACTCTACACGGATTCGGAGATGCTTCAAAGGGAGCGTATTGTGCAGTAGTCTACCTGTGCATTGAAACCGAAGATGGCTACAAAACAAGCCTCCTCGTAGCAGCCAAGAGCAGAGTTACGCCATCTTCGCCTATGAGTATTCCCAGACTCGAGCTGCTTGCCGCACTAATCCTGGCCCGTTTGATCTCTACCGTACAAGAAGCCTTAGCCCAGGTATTGAACACCAAAGAAGTCTTTTGTTGGACCGACAGTATTACAGTGTTCTACTGGATACAGTCCAACAAAGAATACAAGCAGTTTGTGCAGAACCGCATAGACGAGATCCACAAGTTGACCGATGCGAAGAGCTGGCGTCATTGTCCTGGAGTTGAAAATCCTGCTGACGTTGGCTCCAGAGGGTGTCTCGCATCTGAGCTCGTGGATAACCGCCTGTGGTGGGAGGGCCCCGCCTGGTTAAAGGGCCCACCGAAGAACTACCCGGCCTCTGAAGTCTCAAAAGAAGAAGATCTGACAGAAGAATGCAGGACGGAATTTAAAGCAAAGGAACAAAACCTTCGAATGTGACTACCATGGTTAACCTGACCACAGAGCCTAGCAATCCTGTAAAGCTGGCTGAAATCATCGACTGCGAACGTTTCAGCGATGCCACTAAACTATTCAGAGTAACAGCTCTCAGCCTGAAGTTCATCAGAAATCTGAAGTCAGCAAAGACCGAGAGAAGAGAAGCACAAAGTAAACAGACCACCCTTACAGCTGAAGAAATCAGTGAAGCGAAAGTACTTTGGATCCGTGAAGTTCAAAAGCCCTTTGAAAAGAGAGGAACTTCGAGAACCTTAAACAGCAGCTTGGGCTGTTCAGACATGAAGATACCATTCTGAAGTGCAAAGGCAGACTTGAAACGCCCCGTTGAGTGTCGAAACCCGTTACCCCTCACTATTACCGAGGCGGCATCACGTGACAAGACTGATTGTGGAAGCCTGCCACCGGAGGACCAATCACGGAGGAGTGAAGGAAACTTTAGTCGAAGTAAGGACAAACTTCTGGATTCCAAAGGGGAGACAGTACGTAAAGAGGATCCTGCATCAATGCGTTATTTGTAAGAAAAGAGAGGGAGTGCCGTACAGACCACCACCGACCGCTGATCTACCTGAATCAAGAGTCTCCGGAAGCCCGGCCTTCACCCATGTGGGAGTGGATTTCGCCGGCCCTGTGTACGTGAAAAGCACCAGCGGCATTACTAAACAGATGAAGAAAGCGTACATCTGCCTATTCACCTGTGCAACCTCGAGAGCCTTACACCTAGAACTGACACCAGACCTCTCAACGGAAGCGTTCGTCAGATGCTTGCGGAGGTTCATAGCCAGACGTGGGAGACCAGCCTCCATAACAAGCGACAACGCGAAGACCTTCAAGCGAGCCAACAAGGAGCTAGGACAACTACTTCAGAACAAGAGAACGCAAGATTTTGCCGCCAACCAAGGGATCACTTGGAAGTTTATTCTAGAAAAAGCGCCATGGTGGGAGGCTACTATGAGCGTATGGTACAACTAGTAAAAAGAAGCCTTCGCAAAGTTCTCGGAAAGGCGCAGCTGTCCTTTGAAGAGCTACTTACAGTCTTAACAGAAGTGGAGGGAGTACTAAACTCACGTCCCCTCACATATGTCTACTCAGACATCACAGATCAAGAACCCCTTACACCATCGCACCTGGTCATTGGAAGACGACTTGCCACACTACCAAACCCCGCCGAGCTAAGCGATAATGAAGAAACCGCCTCCAGCCTTGAAAGGAGAGCGCGTTACCTCAGCAGACTACTAGAACACTTCTGGAAACGATGGTCTAACGAGTACCTTGTTGGACTGAGAGAATTTCATTATTGCGGAACCAGAGGAAATCAGAACAAAGAAGTCAAGGTTGGAGACGTCGTTCTGATCCACGACGACAGTCTAGCGAGGTGCAAGTGGAGATTAGGAGAAATCACCGAGCTGATCGAGAGCAAAGATGGACACAAACGAGGTGCTGTGTTGCGAGCCATCAGCAAGAAGGGAAAGCCCTCAACGATGCGGAGAGCAGTGCAGAAACTTGTCCCACTGGAAGTGAACACCGGAAACCTGCCTCAAAACGAACACGTCGGAACCGAGGAAGCTGGAATTGTCCAGCAGCCTGACCATCCAGCTGAACTTGTGAGACCACCGAGACGAGCAGCAGCAGCTACTGCAGACAAGATCAGGAGACTTCTTGACCAACAGTGAGCAGTTGGTCAAGGGGGGAGTGTCAAGAAATCGAGCCTATGAACAATGAACACTGAACTGAGACTAATAGAACAATAGAAATAGCGGAAATAGCCTAGGAAAATGAACACTTGAAACCGCACAGAGATTTGTTGTTCTGACTAATTTAGAATTTAGATGTTATCTGATCTACGTGACCGGGCGTAGTGTTACATGGCAGAACTTTGATTGTAGTCTTGAGTACGGATAGTGTTTATTGAGAGAACCGACTAGTTTTTTGAGCTTTACCGCCTTTAGAACATCAAGCCTTGTTACACAGAAGGATTCAGCCAATAAAATTCTTTAGACCTCACTGAAACGATTACTTGCTGATGGTGCTGTGCATTTACCATCACCCCTGCACGAGTTGAACGTTCGAGAGAACAGTGGTCCATGATCAATGATTCAACGCCATTGGCCTCTATCAGAGCACTAAGTTCGCGTTCACTACCGGTGGTCGCTTCAGTCTCAGCCTGATAAGATTTTCCTAACGTTATTGAAAGTTGTTTTCCTTTCTCCGCAGAAGTACCACCAGCCGCTTCAGATGGAAACGGTTGAAGGCTTTCTGAGGGTAGGCACCCCTCGAAATTAACATTTTCAAATAAGAAGGACCCATTTGACAAAAACAACCCTTCACTGCAACTAAGCATCGCGGAACTTCCAGGAAGACAAACAAAATAATAGCACCCTTTCAAAATGACCATCTTCTTGACATCATATTTCCCATCAGCTAAAATGACTGTAAATGGATCATTTGAATTTCGTTTTTCAGAGAGTTCACTCTTTAGTTCCGTAAGCTGGCTAACATTGGTGACAAACTTGTAGTTAATTCCATCAAGCAATCCTGAACCTTGCTGAAATTTTTTTTGCAACTTTTTAATATCATCTAGCTTGGAATGTGCAAACTTGAAATGAAGTACTGCCGCTGCAGCTTGAGCTCTGCTTGTGAAGTCGATTCTACCACTTTCAACGAGCTTACAAAGAGCGTATACTTTCCAGTAGTAAGCACGGTAATGCTCAGTGTCTGCGTCAATAGAAGCATTGAAGTCATCAATAGCTTCCTCAAAGTTTTCCATTTGTAAATTTGCAATGCCACGATGACAAAAAATTTCTCCCAAAGGACGAACGTTGGGTTGATTTACTTCAACTGAAAGTTTAATAATCTGAGTATATAGATCAAAAGCGGTTCGAAAATCGCCCCTGGCGAAAGCCTCCCTTGTCTTTGGCTCTATTAATTCAATCCCTCTTAACAATTCATTGGTGTGATTGGTGTCTAATCCACCGATGTCAATTTGAAGAGTTTCCTTTGCCGAACTTAATAACTTTTTGAAAACGGACAACGAATCAAACCAAGGGGTTAGCATTCTTGTTACCTTCATTAGTTCGTTACCATTGTAAAAACGAATGGGTTCCTTCACTGTGCATAAAATGTCTAATACGGATTGTTGTAAGTGGTATCCTTCACTTTCTATCCCCAACAAATACCAAAAGAAAGCTGCTTCGCAAAATAGTCTCGCACTTTCCTCACGGAATAGGTACTCCGCCTTGAAAGATAAAGTTTTCAAGAGATGAAGAAGGTGATAAGCATTAAAAACGAGCTTTCTCCATCGTCGACCCTCAAGTTTGGCTGTATCTACACTTACCAAAGACTGTAGTATTACATCCTTGGGTCTCCTTTGAACATCTTTCAGAGAATCCAGTCTCACATGCAAATCGTGAAGGTAGTCTGAGCCCCCAACACAGTCGAGAAATGCATGGTGTAACATTCTTATGGCAGAGGAAAAAACTTCCTGAATTTCGCCCTCGTCATAACAACGTTCTTTCAGAGTCGCTTGAACAAGTCGATGAACGCTTAAAGTATCATCTGAAATGCGTTTGAATAGCGAAAACCTACGTAACAAATCAATAATTTGGTGGGCACCAATAGGCATCTTCAAGCGATTCTTTAGATACTCATGGTCAATTTCTGGGGCGCCCACATTCAAAATTTCAATGGGTATCTCATTTGGGAACAAACACGTCGCAATTTTCATGAAAAAAGCCGCTGCCTTTCCAAGTCTTTCATCTTTTTCGTCATTTTCTATGTAACTGAAATTAACATGCCATGTTGTTTGTACTGCCAGACGTTCCTGATTGTAAATCTCTGAACATGGTTTGGCGCTTTTCCTATTCAAAAGGATCGACTTTTGTTCACGATACTGCTCGAGGTATAATTTAATGGAGCATTTAAGTACGCTTATGTAAGCAGCGGCTTGCTCTAAGGCCAACGGTAATCCACCAAGCTCCTGGGCTAGTTCTTTCATTCCTGCGTCTTGATCTTCATCAGAGGAAGGTGATCCAGAGCGTTTTTTGAGGAATTCCGCGGATTCGTCGATAGAAAAAACATCCAACTCAAGAGAGTTTACAGGACGAAGACCTAGGTCCTCACGCAACGCCTGAGGACTTCTACGAGAAGTAACAAGAATGTCACCTGACGTTTTGTTCTTCCACTGGCCGAAAAATAATTTTCGCGTACAGGGGCTCAGTTCCTTTTGATCCATGTTGTCTACAACCAAAAGCCACTTTTCTTTCAAACTACCAAGCCACGAAAGAGTTTCCGTCATTAACTGACCAAACTGTTTCTCTTCCTCGTGCTTTTTTGGCTGGGTCTTGTGTACAAATTGCTCAAAGATTCCTTGACAAGATGCTCGCAAAAAGTTATCACTTTCTCCATTTACCACGAAAAGGCCCCCAGGATAACGTTCGAGGTTGCGCCAAGCATATTCGAAAGCAAGAGATGACTTCCCGCAGCCCCCAAGTCCGCAAATACCATAAACTTTAGTACTCTTTTTACATCCTCCAAGACCATCCCACGTAGTGTTGACGTCTTGAAAAACATTGTCCAATGATTCCAGCTCTTTTTTGCGGCCTGTAAAATATTCATTTCTCTCTAGCGCTCCAAAGAACGCTGGAGAGTTGACACTCTGTTGACGTCTCATAGCACTGCAACTGAAATCTGCCGTTTGTCGTGTCAAGGTTTCCACGTCATTCTCCATTTCCTTAAGTTTCTGAGGAAGTTCCAGTAGCTCTTCGAGATTTTGCTTTGCTTCAAGGACCTGCGATTTCAGTAAGTCGTTCTGTTCCTTGAACTGGCACACAAAATCTTCCAAACTGGAGGAAAGGTGCAACACTTCACTGTGTACCAAGCTTAATAGGGCACGGTCTACAGGGCAGTTACCACAGAACGCAGTGCCTGTCAACAGAACAACTCAATTTTAACGTAACTTTATAGCGTTCAGGGGCCCGTTTCTCGAAAGTCCCGGTAACTTTACGGGCCCGAAATCAAAAATTCAAATCGAAATATAAAGAATAAGAGCGCGGGTCCTGGCTAGCAAACTACTCCATTTAGTTTCATTAACTGACAGTTTTATCATGTTAGATGCAAAACTATTGAAACCTCGATCTTTAAGGTAAACGGAGACAGCTTACCGGGCCCGTTAATTATCGGGCCTTTCGAGAAACGGGCCCCAGGCCCGGGTTGCTCGAAGCATGGTTAGTGCTAACCAGCGTTAAATACCATGGAAACCTATACATTTTGATACCTCTTAACCAACGGTTAGCGCTAACCAGGCTTCGAGCAACCGGCCCCAAGGCGGGGCGGCTCAGTAAACTCAGGCATATGCGTTGCCTAGTTGGCCGTACTACCACTAACGATCATGAGTTTACAGTACCGTAAAATCGAGATACTTTGTTGAAATCTTTTCTTCTCAGATCTGTACAGAATTCAACAGTTGTGCTAAGACCCTACGCGTACCAGCCTGAATTTAAGACGATTACTTCGAGTCGAGTAAAACGATTCAAAGTAATCGTCTAAAATTCAGGCTATTTGCGTACGGCTTTTTTTCAATCCCAGGACGCTGACTGATCGTTTCGCCAACGTACCGTTCGGTAACGTCTTTAGTCATTTCGCTTACGAAACAAAACGAGCGCGACACATATGTATATCTTGTTCTTTCAGCCATGACAGACATGACACGAAAACGTCCGATATGCATGTTTGACCTTGTTCTCGCGAAAGAAGTTAGGGAACTGACCGAACGACCGTATATAAAATGAACGCTCTGAGCCAGGTGGATCATGGTGGATCGTGTGGATCCACCGTTTTGGTGACGTTATAGATAAAAATAGGTTAGTGCTTAATGCAGCCTCGGGTATGACGTCATAGGCGAAAAGAGTAGGCTGTAATACCTTGCCCGGGCTTGCCCAAACCGTAAGTAATCTAGCATCAAAAGATCATGAGTAGCTTTTACAGCTAACTCAGAGCAACTCTGAGTTACCAAAGAGTAGCTCAGAGCGGCATTGAGTAAACAGTGAGCAATTTTGAGCTGTGTGAGTAGTTCATGATCCTTTGCAGCTAACTCAGAGCAACTCTGAGTTACCAAAGAGCAGCTAGGGGAGAACACAGAGTAAACAGTGAGTACTTTTGAGCTTTGTGAGTAGCTCACGCTAGGGAGCTTAAGCAACAGCGTTTTTGAGCGACGGACGTCAACCGGAAGTGGACTTTTTGCATCATTAGGGAGCGGTTTGGTTGAAACTCTCGGGTAAATCGTCTTTAAAAGAGAAAAGAAACTCAGCAATACAAGTTTGTTAGCGTCAAGGCATATAAAAAGGGAGAAGGCCTCACTTCCGGTTGACGTGCGTCGCTCAAAAACGTCTTTGCTTAAGGTCCCTAATGGGGAGGGACGACAAGCTTGGGCATGTTTATCAAAGGGTAGAATTTGCATATTTATTAGCATTTTCGCTCCGCTGCGCGTTCCGTCAATAGTAAATGACGTCATAGCCTTTTGTCTTTATCACATGAAGAAAATGTCGGGAATGGCATTAAGATAAGGTCGTGTGCTATTGTTAGGTAGTTTAAGGAGTTTGAATTGGTTCGTTTGTGCTCTCATTACTATGCTGAAATTGCGCGCCAAGAATCAGTGAACCAGAACGTGGATAGTTGTCAGCAATAGGACAACGACAGTGGCAGGAAATAAAACCTACATAATTACAGTGTGGTCAACTGATTTTATAACACAGAGAAGTTGGCGCTTATTCCTTCATTAAAAATTAGTTTTAGTACACCAATCATAACACACAGTGGAATTAAAAAATAAGGACATGATTCATACTTCTTAAATGAATCTATGTCATTATCATACCCTAAAGGACATGACAGACACAACTTAACATAAATTATGATATCATCCACGTCAACCCGCTTAAACCACCTAAAAGTAGCACATGACCTTATAGTAATGAGATTTGCCCAATTTTATTTATGAGATAAACAAAAGACTTTGTCGTCATCAGTACTAATGTCTTCCCTCTCAACAACGATCGAAGGTCAAAACGCTTTTGTTTCATCACTGTGCTAATGTGCTTTGCGTAAGTTTCACCTGAGAGAAAGTCAAAACACGCGTGATCAGATTACGAATGATAGAGGTCCAAACGCGCGCCATCAAATTGTGTTATGTGCATTCCATGCATTCTTAGTCCAAACGAATGCTGGCTACATACATGCGACTCTTGCGTAATAAGAACCTGGAGATTAGTCCACAATAAGCATAAATAAAGGAAACATAATTTCCAAAAAAATACCTTTGATTTCCCAGTAATTTAGCTCGGATAATAGTATGCTTTCATCTGCTGCAGGAAGTCCGAGGGATTGGACAAGTTTTTGCATCTCCTGAAAACAACCTTGGAACTTTACTGCATCCCAGTCTGTAAAGTTACAGTGAGCCCACTCATTTCTTACATCTTCTTTCACTGTCTTAGCTGAGGACTGCGTTGCATTCGAAAAAACAGGCACTTTTCCAAGTAGTGAAAGAACAGCAGACCCATCACACTTTCCATCAAATGCATTGAACTTGGCCATGAAAGGCTGAAGGTAGAGCTTGGCAAAGTCAACATGACTTGATACCTTATAGTCAAATTTTGAAGAATCAAAATTTACTGGAGAGAGTTTATGGCTGCTGTTACTGTTAATGTTTTCATATTTAAGATGTTTGGGATGATTCTTGAGAATCCCTGGTGGAGTTTGGATGTGAATGTTACGGCTGGACTTTAAGCTCTGGTACTCTGCCTGTAAGGACTGTTCCACAAATGGTCGAATACGAGGCACCAGCTTGTTTATCACAGTAATCCCAATAACTAACCATCGCTTCTGATCTTCTGATATATTCATGGCATCTCCTAAAGAATTTGTATTGAAAAAAGTTGTTTTACATCTTCACGTCACTGTAAATCCCCCCTCTGACAATTTTTTCTATTGATCCCGACTTGATCATCACCCCCTTTGTGATCATCAACCCCTTTTAGGTGCAAGACACTAGCACATATAAACAACAAGTCTGCCCATTCCAGATGTCATCAGAACATCAAACCACATCAAAAGTAGCCTAAGTGTCCAGCAGCCCAGATCTTATATTCTGACCTATGAAATGTGACCTGTACTTAAGACCCACCTAAATTGCAAAGAGGAGTGCCGCTTATTCTGTATATCCCAAATCATAAATCAGTGGCGAAACCAGGGAAGGGCGCCCCTTATTTTTAGACCACATTGAGGCGCAAAGGGTCGTAAAAAAAATGATTTGGAGACCGCCCCCCTCCCCCCCTTATCTCAGGGTTTGGATGACCAGGCCCCCCCCTTATCTGAAGGTCTGGATCCGCCACTGTAAATTGTTTAAACTAAAAGATGTATAAATTACACAGATGTAAAACAAAAAAACACAACAACAACAACACACTTGCGTATTATATACTTGAAATCCCTTGTTTTCCCTGGAAGAGGGGCCACTATCCAATTACAGCTGCATCAAGAGAAATTAAGAGCCTGACTCAAAGACTACAAAAAGGACATACGTGGAACGTAGATGATAATGCCAGTCAACTTTGTTTAGTTCTGTAAGGCATTTTAGTACCAGAAGTTTTTATCCAGGGTTGTGACTGACATTATTTGCTGGTTGGGGAATCTTTTTTTAAATGTTAAAACTCTTGAGCTGTCTGCAATTATTTTTTTCTCAGAGCAGAGCCTTGTTATAGTATGCTCTGTGAATATTGTATATTCTGATGTTCCTCCCACCCACATTTGAAAATAAAAAACTAGGAGTAGACACAATTGGCCATGTGGAGATGGCCACGCCTTTGCCCACATGGAAGCAAGAATGGCGCAGTGGTGAGAGCACATGCCTCCCACCAGCATATATGGCCCAGGTTTGTGTCCCAGAAGTGCTGACATAAATGACTGAAGGTCGCGTTCGCTGTTGGTTCTCACCCTTCCTACAGGAGGATTTCTCTGGGTACTCTGGTTTTCCCCTCTCCTCAAACGCTAACATTGCAAATTACAATTCCTTCAAGAAATGGTTGATGAACAACCACTTTTTAAACCACTTTTTTTATTAAAATTTGTTGACGTGCTACCTATTGGTATGTATTTTAACTTATCAAATTTATTTTGAGACCATACCAATAAGCTTCAGTATAAATAAAATACTGAAAGTGGATAGCTGTAAATTAATATTCTTAACATCTAGCTGCAAAAAAAATTTGGAATATGTTGCTGTTTGTCCATTTCCCCCTTTCTGATACAGTGATAACACTACACTGTACAACTCTTAACAAAGTATTTTCCCACGTGTCAAAGCTTTGCAAATCTATAGCAACAGGCTTAGACGATATCTCTGCTAGGCTTTTCTGTATTTGTCCCAATTTGATATCTTAATCTTTGTGTGTGATCTGATCAACAGCTCAAATAATACAGGCATTTTTCCTGATGAATAGAGATGCATGAAAGTCATTTCTTTGTTTAAACAAGGTGAACACAGAGACATGAACAATTATCACCCCATTTCAATTATCCCAGTGACAGCTACAGTTTTCAAAAGAATAGTGCATAACCAAGTCTACAGTTACAGTGTATCTCAGATGGAGAACAATTTGCTATCTTAGAGTCAATTGTGGTTTCAAAGTCTTCACTCTACTATGACTGCTCTCCTTGAGGCCACCAATACCTGGGCATATCATATTGACCGCTGCAAGGTTAATGCAGTACTTTTTTTGGCTTTAAAGAAAGCCTTTGATACAGTCGATCTCGAGATCCTGCTATCAAAACTCAATGCATATGGTTTTGGGGGTCTGCAAGCAATTGGTTTAGGTGTCACTGCTTAAATGGATGCAATCAAAAATGCTCTGCCAATGGGCATCTCTCAAAACACCATTTGCTTTTATGTGGAATTCCCCAAGGGGACTATTTTTGGACCTTTAATGTTTCTAATTTATATAGATGATCTTCCAAGTTGTCTTTCACACTCACAACCCCATATGTTATGCAGATGATATGCATTTGACATTTGCAAGAGACAATTTGATGAATATCAATAATTATCTAAATGAAGATTTTTATAGCATTAATCAATGGCTTTATAGTTAATAAACTCACTTTGAATCAGTCAAAAACTGAGTTTATGCTAATCAGATCACGACAAACTAAGGTTAAGCACGTTTCAATCAATCCCACACCTCGTAACTAATGATACTCCTGTAAAACAGGTTACTCAAATAAGTATCCTTGGCGTGTACATTGACCATAACTTATATTGGAATGTACACATCAAGGATTAGCCAAAAAGATTGTGTCTGGTATTGGGGCTTTGAAATTTTAAATTCTCTAGTTCAACTCCACTTCAATTATTGTAGCATTGCCTGGGACAGCTATGGTAAAACCCTGGCAACCAGGCTGCAGAAGCTAAAAATCAGGCAGCTAGAGTTCTAACGTTTTCAGGCTATGACGCTGATGCTGATTATTTGATTGAGAGGCTTGGTTGGCAAAAACTTGACATTACAAATCAATAAACAGTCTTGCCCCAGAATACTTGAGCAACTTGTTTACCAACCGTGATAGTGTCAACTTCTATTCGCTATGAGACACTGACAGCAAACTGGCTATTCCTCAGCTCCACACAAACTACCTAAAAAATAGCTATGGCTGTAAGGATGCGGTGGTGTGAAATAGCCTCCCAATTGAGTTGCAGCAGGCAGATACTGTGCAGCATTAAAGCGGGTAGCCAATTTTAATGTAATAGTTAAGTTTTTGTTTAGTTACAGGCATGGCTCTTATGGAAAGCAGGCATATATGATATACACATTTATCTACTTAATTCTTTCATTAAATACTATATGTTCACAAAATGAAAAGTACCGACATAAAGTTATAGCAATACTATTTATTTATATATATTTGTCCTACTTATTAAGTTAAATATTACTAAATAAAGATATTGTTGTTGTACCTTTATCATGGGGAATTACTTTGCCTGAATCTGAAGCTTCCCTCCCTACAGCACCAAGATTTTTACTTGCCTTGTACACAGCACTAGCTGATGCACCTTGAGAATGAAGAAAATATCAATCAGAAACATGCAGCAATTGAGATTACACCATTTACGTTTTTAAGTTTACAGATTAGTGTCACATGATAACTGCACCTGAAGGAAATGCTAAATTCCAAAAACACATTAACCAATTTTTCATTTTATTTTCAGTAACATATAACATTTCTGTACAGTACCTTGGTCATAACGAACTTGATTGCTTGAGTTTGAAATTTCACCCCCTGCACCAGGATCAACACCTTGCACAGCATTAGATGCACCTGAAAATTGAGACAACATATCAGCCAGCATTCCAACATGTAGATAACTATTTATATATCTTACATATACATTTCAGTTCAAAGCTGCATAACGAATTTATGTTGGTAAGGAACATTTTTAACATTAACAAATTACCAGCACAAGTGAAAAGTGCTCAGGGTTCTCAATAGATTTTTAAGTAGGAGGTGATCACTGATAAAGTAGGAGGCTCTTCAGCAAAGCCAGAGGTGTCAAAACAAAGCAAAGAAAAGCGACCTAAACACAAAGTAAGCGGCTATAAATCCCAAAGTAAGCGGCGATCAATCGCCGGGTGCCGCCTTCTATTGAGAACCCTGGTGCTGAATGAAAAATAACAAAACGTTTTGCTATTATATTTTGAGAACAAGGGTGGTGCAGCGGGGAAACCAACTTGTTACTGGTTCACTTTTTCAATTTGTTCCAACAGGTTTTGTGAAGGCACTCTGGTTTTTG